CATGCTGTAAATGGCAGGAAGTCCATTTTGTCCTTCCAGGAGGAGTTCAGTGTTATACTTGGCTTTCTAAGTCTTGAAGGTGTAAGCAGAGGCAGAGTGCTTAAGAATTACCTTCTAAAGCTTTTGTGAATGTGTTTTAGCAGCATATTCCTTTCCGTGCATTAAAGGCTGATTCTCTGATTCTTTTGCTTGAAGGGAATGAATTAGGACATGCTTCTTTGGTATTATCAGAACATTGGTGGTTTTTGCTTTGCTTTTAATCATGTTGTTCCTAAGCTGTATTTTTCTGAATTTATTACAAATTTGATTTTCAAAATTGGATCAAAATAATAGCATAAATGAAAATGTAGTAAATAAGAATACATAAACCCATCCTTCAGACCTGGTGATAGAACAATGCTTTCAGATCTGATCTAACTTAGTGATGCTGGAAGTTCAGTGCAGGAAAGAATAACAAGCTTCTGACTTAAAATGGACATTTTTAGCTAACCATTGCTTTGTAAAATAGAATCTGGAAGGCTTTGATGCGTCTCAGCGATAATAATGGAGCAGCTGTTGCAGCGCAAGTGATTGCTATAACTAATGTGTTCTAAGGTTTAATTTTTGTCTTAAATCACCATGGATCCTATAGCTGAAGTTAGTCCTGGGATATGTATTGGTAGACACTGGCTGGAGCTAACCCAAAATTACTCCTGGTGAAATTCTGAAGCTGAAAGGGGATTAACTAATTCTCCTCAAAGAAAGACTGTGTTCTTCACTCAGAAGTTAAACTGCTGGTTCCTGCAAGCTAGGGCTTCTTACATCAGAGCTAAAATACACGTGGGTGTTTGTTATGCTGTGAAACAGAACTTGAATACTTGTATTCTACTTCCTTTTAATTTCGTTGTAAAAAAATCTGTTCTTTTCAAGAAATTGTGGTGACTTGGAGCTTTGGAAAGTACAGGCTACCAATGGGCAAAATTATCTGGAACAGACTGCTGTAAAGGAAAACAGGTCAATACGTTTTTCTAACAATGTAGAAGGAAAACAGAATTAAATTCTACAAACAAGCTTAAGTCAACAGTAAAAAGCCTTATTTAAATGTGTTGTATTTAGTAGCTAGTCTGGCTGCTTTGTTCTTTGTCATTATGTTAAGAATTCACTTTAACAAGTGTGCAAGACAAACTTAAGTACAAACACTTGAGTTTGGCAATGGTTAGGTCAAAACATTTAAGTCCTTAACTAAATGGAACAGAGGCAAAAAATTTACGCAAGTGAAGACAAAAAAAATCCATCAGCTCAACTTAATTTTACAAAATGCAGCTGAATTCCTTCATGTTAATTTTTAATGATACTTCAGAAAGGAGGGTAGCACTTCAGTCAGGGGTCTGACAAGCTAGTCATTTGCAAATAAATCAAAAGACAATCATTACAGCAGCAAGAACCAGTGAATGATGTAGTTTTGTTATTCTTTGATGGGCCTCACACTCAAGTTCTCTATTAAAAATGAATGTATTCAAGAGGCTCTGCATTAAGAACACAAACAATTAAGGGCACTTCAGATGCTTTGCTAAGAGCTGCCGTAGAGCTCAGAGGACTTCCATAAGAGATGCAGGCTTCTGTAGCCTGCTTTAAGGAGCCACAGAACACGACCAATTAGTAATGTTTGCCTATGTTTGAGCAGCTTTCTGCAAAGTTTCCTTTGTTTATTCACCCTTAGGACTTCTTTATATGTCTCAAGATTAGCAGTTAGGTAGTAGTTATGTTATATCCGAAGGCCTCTAGAAACAGGAGATAAGTACCTTTATTTTAAGACTTTCAAATTCATGAGCCCCAGGTCTGGAGGCTTCCTCTAATGACACCAGTTACTGATGTCTAGTCTTGATTAATAAAACTCTCCTTGACTCTTTCAGAAAGGGGTTTTGCTTTCCGGAATGAATGTGTACACACTCACAGGCACGCGCGCATGCATACTCAAGGGTATTTCACCTTAAAAATTGTGCATTGTCTATTGAACTGTTGCATTTACATTTAAAGTAACTCCTTTTTTCTCAGTTCTGAAAACAATCTCTTACAATTCTTGATCAGCAAAATTACATAAATTGTACATTGAAATTTAACTTTGACAAATTGCTAGAAAACAAAAATATTTTTAACATGTTTGTGAATGAATTTTTTTTTACTTAATATTAGAGAGCAGCAAACAGGAGGTGCATTAAATTGTATAAATAATGTTAAGTACTTAAAATGTGTGAAAACTCTTAGACAAACTGCCTTTTAAATGCAAGCAGACTTTTTTATTATTAATAGAATAGTCATTTCAGTTTTCAGTGTAGATGTCTCTTAACTGGCACTTGTAACAACAGCAAGAAATCTCAAAAAAAACTTATTTTATGTCATGTACATTTAAGTTTATCTAGCAATGTAGTTGAATTAAGGTTGCTGTTCATATATGGTCATCAATGATGCCCTGCTTTGGTAAATTCAAACTACGAAGAATACACTTTTTCTGTTCTGACACTAAATCAGGTGTGATAATACTGAGAAAATAACTTTAACAGAAGATTGATGTGGAAAGGGGGAAAGTTGATTATGTCTTAATTTTTAGAAAATAAATTAAATATCTAACTGACTTTCATTGGAGGACAATTATAACCGGATGTACATGATACTGCATTTTTATCTTACTGTTTGATGACATGTATGCTATGTTATTAGTGTAGCTCAGATATTTGGGATTTGAGGTAGAAAACTCCAATAATATGGACAGCTTGCATGTTTTACAGACTCTACTAAAAATAGGATTGCATTTTGTTTCCTTATAAAAACAGTAAGGAAAGTCACCTCAGAATAGGGAGACTTTTATGTGGCCCATACAGGCCAAAGAACTTTGCAGTAGACAATGAGTTTCTTACTTTATTCTTTCTTGATCCCCTTTTGTCACCTGCTATGATTCATACTTGTTCTTGTCTGAAAAACAAAGTTAATCCCATTGGTCTAGGGCAATTAAGTCCTTGGATCCTAAACATCTTAGCTAAACATCATCCAAACAGATTGCTATGCAACAGACAACATTTCCACGGCTGATGGAATACCAGCTGATGGATACCCTGCTTTCTGGCGAGATATACTAGGTATGTGGAAAAATGCCCATTAGTACATGTGTTTGGAATTTTTTTTCCTTTAACAGAGAAATACCAACAGATTTGGTAATAGTTAAGTCTGATAACCAGTAATAGATAAGCTGGTAACTTCAAAGTGTTGACTTTGCTATTATGTATGTAGTACTGAAGGCTAAACATGGAATTATGGATGTTTTATGGTTGTGGCCCAGACAGAATGGAGAAGACCACTGTGGTACTCGGTGAAACGATAGGTGTTTTAGTTGAGATTAGAGATATCTTCACACTGTTGCAGGGGGCAAAGATTTCCTGTAAAGCAACTGTCACTTCATTGCCCTTAGTTAAGGCAAACTTTTTAATCCTCAGAAGAAACCATCCCAGAACTTCTTTGGAAGCTTCTGAAAAACTATATAGTTTTGGGTGTGTCAAATGTCAGGCTTTGGTTGGGTGGAGTGCTTCATGTCAAGAGAGATGAGGTGTTTTACAGGTCTAGATGCCATCCTGTATCTTCCCTCTGTCTGTCAGAGATTTGCAAGGAGGTGTTAAAGATTGGTAATTATGCTTAGATCCCAAATCACCTGTCTCCTGAGACATAAAACTAGAGGGTTGATTTTGTATCCCAATTATTATGTGACTGATGTATAAAGATCAACATAGCACAGTGTCTTCTTAAAAAACCTCAGAATTATGGGAAGGTTCAGGAAAAGGCTTGGCAGAGAGTTAACAGTTTTAGTCTGATTTAAGTGAGTTTATCTTTGCTCAGCTTTAATACTCGTGATTTCATAGAAGACCTAATGATTCATAGTAGTGACTGCTTGTTTCTTCTGTATTGAAACATTAAAAAAAACCTTAACTAACCAAGAAATATCTTTATGGGTTAATTGTACAACAGAGATGGACAGGAGCTGTTCAGTGTCTCTTACATAAACTGTGTTCTTGTCTAGGTGCTGATTTTGGTTTTGTGCAACTGTGCTACAGTGACTGAAATTACTGTTTTAAAGGAAGACTGAGGAAATTGTATAGGTAGTTTGAGGGTTAATTATAATAGTGGTCCTGAATTATGGGCAGATGTATGGGTCTGAAAGGCTGTAAACACAGATAACACTGAGTAATGAGAGAAAAAGATCCATTTACCCCACCAGGATTCCAGGGTTTAGGTTGACATGACAAAATGGGAGATACAGAAGTAAGATATATGAAGCTATTGAAAAGTGGGACTCAAACTCTGTCCCGCTGTAATCTCTGTTGATTTCCCTGAAGGATTGTTCTGTTCTCTTATTCCTAACCTTTTTCTCCTGGTGTTCATGGTTTCACAAATTTGCTGTTCATAAGATCCCATTTTCTGATCTGTTTTTTTCCTTGTTTGCATTATTTTAATTCTCTTTCAATATGGATTTTAGAAGTCTGTACTTTTTGTTTCCATTCTTACTCTGTTTTAGTATTTCTTTTGTATTCCCAATGGTACATTTGTCATTTTACCTTCTAATAGGCAGATAAAATTGATCATGAAAGAAGCATTTTTCTTTTATTCTTCCTGCCTTCATGTTATGCTGCTTGATAATTTGAGTAGTAATAAATCTATCTTTTAAAAGGCTTTATCTTGGAGTTAATGGATTTCAAAAATGCTCTGCTTATTAATGAACTATATAAGAACCAGATTTGTGCCTAAATGTGTGTACAGATTAGATGCTTTAGACATGGCAGATGTCCTAGAGTAGCTAACAAAATCTCTTTCCATGTCTGGCCTTGTATATTAAGTATTTATATTTGCAGTAGTATGAAAAATGCATAATATTTTGTTACTTTCGTTATTGTCTGAACTAATATAATCCTTTATACTAGTTAATATGTCAAACCCCCTAAAATGCAGTTTTTAATGCAAATACTTTTACTCTGTAGACAGAAATCGCGAAGAGATTGAATACAATTTGTGCACAAGTCATCCCATTTTTGTCTCAGGAAGTAAGTAAAACTGTTCAACTATTACAGTGTGATTATGTTGTTTTTCTGTTTGCAAATTAGCTAGTTTTAAGATGTTAATATTATCACAATACACAATGTGTGTATTGTGTAATGTAAGGAACATCTGTTATAGCTGAAGTGTGCAAACCCCCTGCTAATTTGATCTAACAAATCTGAGTTCAAACTGGTGACAATGGCTCAGCCTCATTCATTTCCTGAGGAGAGTGGGAGTCTGTAAAATAGTAGCAATACAAGAAAATGCTTTTTTTCCTAATCATGGTGATTGTTTATTAGATATTCAGTTGTCAGGTGTAGATCTAGTAAAATACGCATGCTTATGTTCTCTACATAATTTATATCAAAGGTGAGTGTTTTGCTCCTATGCAAAACACTATTTAAGTTGTAGACCTACATTTAATCTGAATGACTGTGATTTTAGCATGTTGTGGGCAGCTTTTTCTTGTTTGAAATTTCAGTTGGCTTTGCTACGTGGGCACAGAGTCTACAAATGTTAAAATTGAAACTAATGTAAAGAAAACCTGTCAGCTCAATTAAAAATGATTATTCATTTGCCAGACAACTAATAATGAAGGGACTTAGGGGAAGAGATAAGTTGAATGCCTTCAGGTCTCTTCTTTCCTTTTGAGCAGGTAAAAATAGGGCATTGTTACCTTTTACCTGCATGAGATGTCTTGCACTGGGTAGCATGGGCTTCTGCTGACAAACTGGTTATTCAAGTGTGTGTGATCCTGGTTTGATATGGTGTGGTAATACCTTAACACAAATTCCTCCTTATACCCCTTCTTCTTTCAACAGCATCAGCAACAAGTGGCCCAAGCTGTAGAACGTGCCAAACAAGTGACCATGGCTGAATTGAATGCCATCATCGGGGTACGTGGCCTTCCAGGTCTACCTCCTACAGTGTGTATAACTTGCTTTCATATCTTACTGCTTTGCTATTTTTAAAACAAACTTAATGTTTTGATTTCTAACATTGTTTTGATGCCCAGTATTGCTGAAGTGTTTTTGCTTCACACAGATTTAGCGGAGATAAGGGTAGTAGCTTGTCAGAACATAATTTTGGCCAGCGGTGCTGCATGTAACAAAACTTCTCCTGCAAGAAATAGAGTTTTAGGAGAGTTGCTTGTTTATTTATGGGTATTGTATGTCAGTTGAGCTAGATACTTTTTCCTCATGCTTTTTGTGACACTTGAGTTCTTGGAGCTTATACAACTATTCATTCTTCTTTCTTTCCCTTTCTTGTGAATCTTTCATGAATTTTAAATTAGCAAGCTACTGAATAGAAACTTCACTTGCTTTTGAAGTAGTATTAATTGTCTGACACAGTGTTCTAATAGCCTTTCACCAAGAATGTGCTTTTAAATATGCTAAAAAAGTTAATACTACTTGCTTGTGACTGGTTGTCAATCACAAGTCATTTGCTTTGTATTAATGAACTTTTTGAACCATACATTCCTTCCACTGTATGAGTTCATTTCCCCTGCCACTAAGTCTGGAATATTTCTCATGTTTTCTGCCCTTCTGACTAAGTAAAAGAAGTAGCCGAAACAAGAACCTGTCCTTTCTGATTTTATTCATATGTGAGTGCCTTGAGCAGATTCAAATTACTCATTTATCAATTTATGTTAATTGCTTGTGAGAAGATGCCCTGCTGGTCTTTATAGTTCCCTCAGACGCTTTGTAATGATAATTAGACATGCTGCTGTACGGATTAACAGTGCCATAGTCCAATGACGTCTACAGACAATGGAACCAGTTAATCCATCTGTGCTTAAAATTACATCCCAACTGGAGATGGAAAAAAAAAAATAGGAGAGAGGGAGGATTAAAAGAATGAGCCTCAGCTTGAAAATGCTCCTTTCATCAGTTTCTCAATTGCAGATCTGCAGTCGGTTTGCCTGTGGTAAGCTATTGGCAGTCAATTAGGTGAAATAAACTGGGAGGGTGACCTTCATTTCCTTTTAATAGCTTTTCCTCCCTGAAATGGGGAGCTTCAGTGGATTTTCAGCTTAAATTTTATTCAAGCTGCTTTATTACACTTGACAGATTAGCTTTGCATAAACATACCCCCCCTTCAAATCTGTGCTGTTTTTCCTTCGTATCAGATTTTGACTGTTACTTAGTTGATTTGCTAATCACATCTTAGAAACCCACACAATTACATCTGTATTTGTCAGAATCTCCTCTGTGCTTTGCTTGTGTAATGAATTAGTTTATGAATACCTGATTTGATCTTTGAAATACGCCTCATGTACATTTGTGGTATTCGATTAGCAAAGATTAGAGAACTGTACTTTCTTGCATTTTTTAAAACAAGTTGCTTCTTAAGGATGAAAATGGAATGGAAAACCCTTCATTATGAACTAGTTTCAAAGAAGAACTTATGCAGGAAAAGGAAACATATTAAAACATATTTGTAAAGATTCTTTCTTGCCTTAAAATAGTGCTACTTAGACAAACCAATTTTTGCTATCTCAGGCATGTCATCTGCTTCTTTTTAATGTCCACACAATACAGTCTTAAAAGCCATAGGATCTACAAGTACCACATACAATTAAGAACTTTAGGAGTTTTGGGGAGCAGGGAGGGAAGCTCTTTGGAAGCAGGAATAGTAGGCTCTAACATTTTTGTTTTATAATCATGTAAGATTTACCTGAAGAAATACTTTCCGTGTCTTTTGAAAGACTCCTGAATGATGCCATACAAATCCAAAACTGCGAGTGAGGAAATTAACATGCTGGGCACAAAATTTGACCACGTAGGTGCCCGCATTTACATAATGCCAAAATTAGATGTATGTCCCAGTGATCTTTTACAGTCTTATTAATCAATAGTTACCTTGTGCCGCACAATAAGTTTCATGCTCTGACATATGCTTGGTTTTGTTTGAAAGGGACGGTGTATGTCCTGAAAAATCTGAATAGCATAAAATCAGACTGACAATTTAGTGGACCTTTGCTCCCCCTCGCTGAGCACTCAGGGTGTCAAGCCCTTTCCCCAGAGGGGAGGACACATCAAAAGCCTGTCTGTTCCTACAAGCGGCAGCTGCACCGAGGGTGAGCACGGCACAGTTTGATAGCAGCTGTCAGTATTGTTCAGGGGCCCGACTTAGTGTAAAGAACAATGGAAGGGCCATGCTGCTAAAGTGCAGTGTCTTTCAAGATAAGAAAAGATATAGTAATTTAACGGTTTAGACACCTATTATGGGCATGAAAGATCATCAAACTTCTTTTCAGGGTGCAAATAAGCTGGACCAATCTGTAACAGCAGAAGATGCAATTGAGGGACTTCTGGTGTCACACTACCTAAAATACATGCATGTGATAATTCTTGAGGATGGGGAGGGAAGTTTTATTTTGCTAGCTGGTACTAACTTGCCTGGTCTCTCTTGACTAAATAAAATTCTTCATTTTTGCCAGGATTTGACTTTTTTTCCCGCTTTCTTTCTGTCCTTAAGGGCCATTCTTTCCTGACACCCGATGATTCAAGCGTTTCCCAATAGGTTTCCTTCAGTTAGACAAATTCATGTTACTCCTGTGCAATGTGTGAATTCTAGAAGGGAACAAAGACTTTGGAATTACTGGGAAAAGTATTTTGAAATACAAAATAATTTTGAACTATATTTTATACATTTTATTTCCAGTTGAAAAGAGGGAAGCCTATTAGAGGACAAACTATGAGGATAGAAAATTATAGTCTCACAGGACCAGGATTTTTCAGAGAATTTGACTACAAAATCAAAAGCCAGGGTTTGGAATAGGTGTATATTAAGCACGTACAAAACAGAATGAATAAATTGACACATTTTTTAAAGAAAGTAATACAGTTGGACTCAGTGAGCTTGCAAGCAGTGCTAATCCTCTGTGTTGATTAAAAATTCTTTCTTCAGGAAAAAACCCTGGATGATGTTTGGTTATTAACAGTCATACTCCTGACCTTACAGTTACCCTACATGTTCTTGAAGGCTTTTACTGTCAGCCAGGGGTTAGCAGTGTGGCTAAACAATCTCCTTTATTTTTTTTTTTTTTAATAGCACCATTTAATATTTATTATATTAGAGTAGAATGAAGTAGCAATTTTGCTAGATAAATAATGAACAAAGGAGAAACCCTAACTAAAAGGATAAGTGCCCCCATTAACTCCTTGGCCTTGCTGCAGCTGCAGGCAGTGTCCAATTCTGCAGTTGAGGAAGACTAGATCATTGTGTGAAAGAATTAGGTAGACTATTATGGTGTAACTTGAAGGCTTGTTTTGGCTTTTTTATGGGTGTTTTGGGGTTTTTTGTTTTTCACTTTTTGCTTGGTTTTTTGCAGGGTTGTTTTCTTGATATATGTGTCTAGAAAATAAAAAGTTCATGTTAGGTAGTATAAGTGACAGTTAAATTGGTATGTCTAGGTGTGAACCATGGAAGATTAGATTTACTTTCCAATCAATAATCTAGTTTTATGAATCAAATATGCAAATATGTGAATGAGAAGTACAAGCAGCAAACAGGAAACTTTCTTCAGCACGGTATTTTTCATGCATGATTTCAGCATACTACTAAGAAGCCAGGTATGTCTTATTTTTCCTGTTGAGGTGGGTTGCTAATGACTTAGTGAAATATGTATCTTTTGGACTGACAGTTCTCCTGAGACAGATTGAGTTGTTGGCCTCCGTGAGGCCTCTCCACTGTTGCATGAGGTGATTGGCTAAAGGATTAGCAAGATGTGGGATTATTTTTTTCTCTCTTGGCTGTGGTTGCCAGCTATCTCTGGGATTGTAGTGTGTGAAGCTTAAGAGGATGAGGTTAACCTCTTGAGGGTTTATTCTTATGAGTGTGTAGTTAATCCTTAGAAAGCCTATAAATAACTAGGCTGTATGTTTCATTATAAAATAGAAATACAGACTAGAGCAGAAATGAATGCAGAATTTAGTGCAAGGGAAGAGCTAAGCAGCTGTAGCATTACTTTAGATCCTTCTCAGGCATGATCTGCATTATGTGCTGAGGGAGGGGAAATTGCCTAGTTCTTTTAAATTAAATAAAATGAGATCTAGTGAGCACAAGGCACTCTCCTCACTTTTAACATAAACTCCATAACCATAAGTTTAAATTACTGAACTCTGGCAATAGGAGCTCTATTGTGTAGCAACATGCTGGGTTATTCTTCATATTTTAGAACTCATAGAAACCTTAGTTTTATCCTAGGATTCATGGCAGTTACTTTTAGAATATAAAGCCTCCAATTTAGTTTACCAGTTTAAAGTAGATAGCAGGGGAGGAAGATACTTGTCAGCATGATAGGGGTGTTCTCAAAATACCAGTCCCCAGACAATGGTCAGATTTTTGCTGTTAGTGTCACTAAGCTTGGAGGAAAAATATGGAGTGGTATTGATAGGTATTAGTAGCTTGACCTACTCAAAAGAGAAAATCTGGGAGAAGGTGTATAAAATATGAAAGAATGGCATTAATTAATTTGGTTTCCTCTTGACACCTCACCTCCACACACCCACTCTCTGTGGGCTGATGGGAAATGAAGAATCTTGGAGCAGTGATACAGAGGAACGTAGTATCTAAACAAGGAAGGTAGTGTCCAAACAAGACAATTTTCTGCAGAAGAAGGTATTCTCAGTCATTCTGGAGAGGGCAACACCGCATCCAAAAGTCAAATGGAATTGAGTTGCAGGCCAGACCTCCCTTGTCTTGCAAGGCTTCATGTGGCTTGGATGGAAAAAGCTTCACCTTGGATCTTGCCCAAAAAGAAAAACAAAAGAACTTCAGGTGGCTCTCATCAAGATCTGGTATCCAAACTACAAGTCAATGGTGAGACCAAGTATACAGTGCAAATTTGTGAAGCGTAAGAGCTTTCAGGAAAGGAGTGAAAGTATGATGACCGTTGAATAAAAATATTGTTAGCTAG